CCACAGCCCCGTGTCCCCCCCACTCCCCCGCAGCCCCGCACATTGTCAGCCAGGAGTTCGGTACCTGCCAGCCCCTCTCTGGACCAAAGGACCTCACCCAGCTCTTTGGCTTTGCTCGGAACGCCTTCACTGTGCTGGCCATGATGGACTACCCATACGCCACTGACTTTGTGGGCCACCTTCCTGCCCAGCCCGTCCAGGCACGGCGCCTGCTCCTGCCATCTGGAACCCGGGGCGGGTCCCGGCCACCCTGGGTGCTCAGAGCGGGCCGCCCTGGGCCCTTGCGCCCGCTCAGCCCTGGGACCGGGGTGGGGGGGTGTGGGTAGGGGGCCCGGCCACCCTGGGTGCTCAGAGCGGGCTGCCCCGGGGCCTTGCCCGGGATGGGGGGGGGCGCGGCTGCTGAGGTGCTGTGTTCCCCAGGTTGGCTGCAGCCGGCTGCTGAGCGAGAGCTCGAGGATCGCGGGGCTTCGCGCGCTGGCCGGTGCGTCTGCCCCCTGCCCGGGCCGCTGCTGAGCACAGGGGCCCCGAGTTGGTGGGGGGCAGCCAGGCCCAGGGAGGGCGGTGTGGGGCGGGGCACACGGAGGCCGGCACTTGACCCCTGGGGAGGAAGAGGCCATCCCCCCCGCAGAGCACGGCCTCTGGAAGGCCCCCAGTGCAAAGGGCGGCACAGCCGCCCCAGGGCCCCCTGCTGCAAGGGGCACGTCAGGCGGGCTGTCCCGCAGCCCTGAGCAACCCAGACAGAGCGGACAGCACAGCCCGCCCCCCGGGACCACCACCCCACTCCGCGCTGGGCCCACGGGGCCCTGCAGAGCCCCTCTAAGCGGACAGGGTGGGCACCCAGGCACCCGGCCCCAGCAGCCCTCTCCCCCAGGGCTGGTGTACAACTCGTCTGGCACAGAACCCTGCTATGAGATCTACCTGCAGTACCAGGCCTGCGCCGACCCCACGGGCTGCGGCTGGGGCAGCGACGCCAAGGCCTGGGACTACCAGGTTCGGGTGGCTGGGGGTCCAGGGCGGCCGGGTACGGGGGGTGCTGGGGGCCCGGGGTGGCATGGGCCAGCCTGATCATGGTGCGGCATCCCGCAGGCCTGCACTGAGATCAGCCTGACGTTTTCCAGCAACAACGTGTCAGACCTGTTCCCTGTCTGCTATGAGATCTACCTGCAGTACCAGGCCTGCACCGACCCCACGGGCTGCGGCTGGGGCAGCGACGCCAAGGCCTGGGACTACCAGGTTCGGGTGGCTGGGGGTCCAGGGCGGCCGGGTACGGGGGGTGCTGGGGGCCTGGGGCTGCATGGGCCAGCCTGATCATGGTGCGGCATCCCGCAGGCCTGCACTGAGATCAGCCTGACGTTTTCCAGCAACAACGTGTCAGACCTGTTCCCTGAGCTGCCCTTCACTGAAGCCCAGCGCCAGCAGTACTGCCTGGACACGTGGGGCGTGTGGCCCCGGCGGGACTGGCTGCAGACCAGCTTTGGGGGGGGCGGTGAGGCCCACGGCGGGGGTGGGGGCGCGGTTCCACCCCCTGCACTGAGCAGGCTGTTTCCCAGGCTCCAGGACCCGGCCCCTGGGTCAGGCTGAGGGGGCCCCCCGGTGCCCACCACGCTCCCTCCGTCCCTTTCAGACCTCGCAGCTGCCAGCAACATCATCTTCTCCAACGGAGACCTGGACCCCTGGGCGCGGGGCGGGGTGAGTCACACAGGAGCCAGGCCGCGGGCATGGCTCCTGGCCGCGCTCCCCACCCATCGCTGCTTCCTCTCCCTCCATTGGTTCCCCTTCTTCTTCCGGTGGCCTGGCGTCTACTCGTTCACAGTCACCTTTCCTTTATAACGGAGCCACTCTCCTCAAGCCTCTGCGGGGGCCACATCCTACCTGCCGGGACGAGCAGCTGGGGGGCCAGGGGCTCAGCCCAGAGCACATGCCCCCAACACAGTCTCCTCCAACGACAGATCCAGAGCAACCTGAGTGCATCTGTGCTCGCCATCACCATCCGCGGGGGGGCACACCACCTTGACCTCAGGTGAGGCCCGCCTGGGGAGGGGGCGCGGTGCCTGGTCTGGGCGGGCGAGGGTGGCAGGGCTCAGGGCTGGCCAGCCCAGCTGAGCACCTCCTTGCCCGCCCCCAGAGCCTCCCACCCAGATGACCCTGCATCCGTGGTGGAGGCCCGCAGGCTGGAGGCCGCTCTCATCGGCAAGTGGGTGGAGGCGGCGAGGGGCACGCGGCTCCGGGGATGAAGGCTGCCTGCCGCAGGGCCAGAGACCACCAGCTGGGGCCTGAGGTGAGGCAGGGGCAGGCGCCAGGCCCCAGCTCCTGCAGCCGGAGCCATGCCTCGTGGGCAGGGCCTTGCCCAAGGAGGTGCTGGACAAACACTGCTGGCCTGTCAGGCATGCCGGGTCCTACCCCCGTGCCGTCTGAGGCCCAGGACCCTGGCAGGCTCACACCACCTCCTCAACTCGGCTGTTGAATAAAGCAGAGTCCTTGGCTCCGCGTGCGGTCCTGCGTGTTGGGCGCGGGGCCCTTACCACTACAGGAAAACCCGGGACACGACCTGCGGCAACCCCAGCGAGCCTCCACCCTCCTCAGCCGTCCTCTCCCCCCAACCACTGCAGGGGCCCCGCAACCCCCAAGTTCCCGTGCTCGGGGCCAGGCCTGCACAGGGTGGAGGGCAATCTGCTTCCCTGGGCCGACTGTCCCCGCCAGGCCACGGAGTGTCCAGGAGGAAGCCTGCGGTCCGGATTCGGATGAACCACTGCCTGAGCGGCTCCTGGGCTGCGGCGTGGGGGTGGGGCGCACCGTGGGCCCTTGGGCTGGCCTTCTGCACACAGGCAGCCAGCAGCCACAAGGGCAGGCCCTGCACGGCGCTGAGTAGGAGCCCTGCTGGGCCCGTGGGCAAGAGGGGGCCGGCAGCCTCACAGGATGGACACCGAAGGGCCGTCAGGACAAGTGCCAACCGCGGGTGAACCAAGGCGGGGGAGGCCCTGCAGGCCGGGGGGCTGCGGCCGATGCAGAGGCTGCCAGCAACAGCAACATGTCTCCTCACACACCCGGGGAAAGGGTCAGCCCGGCCCACAAGGGCGCTGGGCTGGGACTGGGCCCAGCCCAGGGATCTGGCTTCTTGCTGGAAAGCCACACCCTTGTCGCTTCAGTTCAGTTGCTCAGTCGTGTCTCTCTGCAACCCCATGGACTGCAGCACACCAGGCCTCCCTGCCCATCACCAACTCCCGGAGTTTACACAAACTCATATCCATTGAGTTGGTGATGCCATCCAACCATCTCATTCTCTGTCGTCCCCTTTTACCGCCTTCAGTCTTTCCCAGCATCAGGGTCTTTTCAAATGAGTCAGCTCTTCGCATCAAGTGGCCAAAGCATTGGAGTTTCAGCCTCAGCATTAATCCTTCCAACGAATACTCAGGGCTGATTTCCTTTAGGATGGACTGGTTGGATCTCCTTGCAGAACCAAGGGACTCTCAAAAGAGTCTTCTCCAACACCAGGTTGAAAGCATCAATTCTTTGGTGTTCAGCCTTCTTTATGGTCCAACTCTCACATCCATACGTGACCACTGGAAAAACCATAGCTTTGACTAGACAAACCTTTGTTGGCAATATAACGTCTCTGCTTTTTAATAAGCTATCTAGATTGGTCACAGCTTTTCTTCCAACGCACAGGCATCGTTTAATTTCACTTTCACAGCCTGGGCTGCCCTAAGGAATGGGTGCTGCCGGCCGCACAGGACCGTGACAGGCACCTTGAGAGGAGCAACAGGCGCTGACACCCCACACCTAGGGCAGCAGGCAGAGCACAGGCCCACTGAGGCCCACAGCCAGCATCTCACACCCTCACCCTGGGGCCGCCTCGCCCAGCACCTGTGCTGTGGGAGGACGTTTCCAAACTCCCCGGGCAGAGCCAAAGCCGACGTCTGGACACAGGGGAGCCTGGACCTCCCCCTGCCCCTGCCCCTTGCCCTGACCTCACACTGGAAATCAGAAAATAGACGAAGCAGATGCCATTCAGAACAAGTGTACTTTTATCATGGATTAGAAGTCTGTCTGTTGGGCTGGGAGCCGGTGAACATGCCGCCCAGCCCTGCCCAGCCTTGCAAAGGCAGGAGCGGATCCCTGAGTCCAACGTGTAAACAGCGCAGCCAGCCAGGAGCCCGAATCCCCGTGAGGTCAGGACGCCCCGAGCCCCTGGGTCGGGCGTGTTCACAGGCTGTGGCCCCGAGGCTGGGCTGCACCAGGCCGTCCCCTCAGCCCCCGTCTCTGACCACATTGCGGGCTCTGGGCCAAAGTGGCCTGGGGTGACCAGACACCCAGGACCCCGAGGAAGCCCTTGCAGGGCAGCAGGGGAGTGTTCAGGCTTCAGGAATGTAGTCATGATTTGATTTTCTAGGAAGAAGGAAGAAACTTGCTGAGTGGACAGGATCCCCAGAATCACACCGCCCATTTATTCCAACGTGTTCCAAACGGTGATCCAACAGGAACCAGGCGAGGAGCACAGAACCAGCGGCAGAGCACCGGATGCCCAGTGGCCACCCCGAGCAGCTACGAGGCCCCGAAACATCCCGGCCCTATGGCCCGCTGGCCTCTGTCACCAGCCAGGCCCGGACCACGTGCCGCCAGCTGGGGGGACACCAAGCAGCCAAGGTCAGGGCCCGGGTCTTGCCGACAGGCATCCTTGCGGACAGCACACGTCAGCCTCCTGGGCAGCGCCTACTCGAGAGCCGTCCCGCCCTAGGAGGGGGCCCAGATGGGCAGGGGGTGAGCCTCTGTGTTGAACACGTAGGTGTCCAGGCTCAGCAGGTCGGGGTCGTCGGAGAAGAGCAGATACAGGTATTTGAGCGTCTCCCCCAGAAAGAAGCTCTCCATCTTATCCCTGGGCTGGGGGTGGCGGGGGTCCTGGACGTTGCTGATGGAAGAATAGCCGCCCGAGGGGACCTGCTCGAGAGCCGAGGCCGCAGCATCACAATGCTGGCTCAGCCCTCTGGAGGGCTGCCAGCCAGAGGTGCCGCCCCCCACCCACCCCGGCCCCTGGCCCGCCCCAGAACACACGGCCCCCAGGGCAGGGTCTGGGGCGGGGACGACACCAAAGCCAACAGGGGGAATGGCCACCCTGGAGGTCAGCCATGGTTCCCTTCAGTGATCAGATGCCAAGTGCCACCTCTAAAACCTGTGCAAGCCTCACAAAGGCCCCAAGGCCACCCGAGGGGTGTAGAGTCCACCTCAGGGGCCACAGGGCGGAGGTCAAGTCTCAGCCCTACCAGGGTGAACAGTGGGCCCTGGGCACAGCAGGGGATGGAGCTGGTTGTGGCCCCCGGCCTGGGGCACAGCGGCCCAGAGGTCACCCACCCGCTGGGTGGAAACACGCTGCCCAAGCCGCACAGAAGACCCAGGAGAGACACGTTCTGTGTGCCTCAAGCCACTGCAGGGACCCTCCCGGCACAGCTGTCCCCCAGACAGGACACACGGACGCCCCGACCCCCCGGGCCCTCACGGCAGGGCAGGGCCTCCCCGTGCAGCCCCTGGGAGGCGACACTGAGGCCCGGGAACACTCGGGGGGCTCACCCGCGTGTAGGTGTTGAAGCTATGCAGGATCTCCCAGCCCCAGTCCTGGTACTTGCGGTCGCCCGTGAGGCGGTACAGGTAGAACAGGCTCTCCACGGTCTCGGGCCGCAGCAGGTTGTGTCTGTCGGCCACCTGGGGAGGCACGTGGACTCAGGAGGTGCTTCCCAGCATTCCCCTCTGGCCCCAGCCCTGGACCCAGCCCAGCTCACCTTGACCTGAACGTCCTTAACAGCCTTCGTGTGGTGCAGGTTGAAGTGTGCGATCTCGGGGCTCAGCCCTGTCTCCATCTGACGGTACATCTGGTAGCAGGTGTCCATGAGCGCCTGGGCCAGCTCCATGTGCTCAGCAGGCAGGCCGTGGTGGGCACCCAGAGCCAGTGTCCCCGGCAGGAAGCACACCAGGTGGTCCTGAAACCACGGGGTCACCTCATCAGCGGGTCCAGAACCCTCAGGCCTCAGACAGGGCACGGAGCTGCAGGCCAAGCACCTGGGGCCCCACACGGGCAGGGAGAAGCTTCTGGAAGGACCACCTCAAAGGTTGATGGAGTCCTGGCTGCAGGAGGGGGTGCAACTGGGAGTGGGGGTTCCCTGAGAGCATGGAAGGAGAGACTCGTTGCAGGGCAGGGGTCCCGGAGGAGGTGGGGGCCCTGTGGTGGGGGCCCTGGCACCCCACAGACCTCAGCCCCTCCTGCTGCTATCACGGGACACCCACGTCCACCCGGGACCGCTCACACTCCACGGCCAGGATCACAAGGTTCCCCGGGTCATCCCCACTCTCAGAGCCATCAGACATCAAGCACAGAGGCTGGGTCCTCAAGCTGCCTTGAGGCCGGATCGGGGAAATATGCTCCCACTCACCATCTTGGCGCTGAAGCGGCCGTGGTTGAGCTCCCCCACGAAAGTCAGCTTCCTGGGCTCAGATTTAGCGAGCAGGTGCTTCCTGATCCCGTCCACGGCTTCCAGGTAGTCTTCCAGCAGCCTGTGCAGACCAGCGGGGCCTGTGTGCTCTGGCCAGGTGGGCACACAGCCCTCAGTTCCACAAACAGGGCGTGACCCCAAGCTGCGGTCCCCGTTCTGGGATCTATGAGGCCCGGCCCTGCCAGCCCCATGGGGGTCACCCTCATGGACTTCTGGGTCGCCCCCACTCCAGTGAGGCCAGTGCCTCCCAACCAGCCCCAAGGCGCCACTGGAGACCAGCCTCTGCCAGCCTGATTCACCCGGAACCAGCCTGCGGGCTCTCCAGTCAGTAACACTTCCTGGGCCACAGTCACCCCCAGGCTTGAGGCTGAGAGGACCCAGCACCCCACAGGGGTTTATCCCTGTTTTATAATTGGACAAGGCTGCTCCCTGGGAATGCCTGCGTGTTCAGTGTCCAAGCCCTGAGCACAAGGAGGCCCACATCTCCCCGGCTGCCTCCCGCTGAAGCCAGTGACCAAGCAGCCACAACTCCAAGGAAGACCCTGCTGCCCAGCGAGGAGCCGTGCGCCGTGGCCGGTCCTGGCTCGGCACACGGATGGACAGAAACAGCTTCCCCGCAGAGGGCCCCGCCACCCCGAGCCCCGGGGGCCACCCCGAAGGCAGAGAAACAGGCCTCACTGGCTCTCCTTCTTCCCGCCCTGGATCCACTGCTTCAGCAGGTACTCGTAGTAGCTGTCGGCCCTGGCGCCCAGGGTGAACACGCCCAAGTGGGTGAAGCTGCCGCTGTTGGTGTTGATGAACATGGGCACCAGCCCGTCCAGCTTCCCGCGCAGGGCGTGCACGCGCCTCGTCACCTCCTCTGCGGCCTCCTGCGGCAGATGACAGGGGGCGGTGAGCAGATGGGCTGGGCAGGGGAGCTGCCCTCCGACACAGCGCCACGATGGCCGACCGTGGGACTGAACCCGTCCTCGAGACACTTCCTAGCCCCGAGCAGGGGGGACAGGTT